AAGACTCCGTAATTATTCTAAAACTTGAAAAAATTTAAAAGAAAAAGGGATTATTACAGAATAGATAATTCAGTTATACACTTAATTAAGCATCTAATAGCACCTTAATTATTTTAACAAATGTGAGTTTATGAACTACGGTAGATATTTACAGCTAAAATAAAGGAGCTAGTGAATATAATAATAAAAGAATGTATTAAAAACAAAATCAGTAGCACCTGAGGAAGTCAATAGCACCTGGAGTATTTTCATAAATGTGACTATATGGACAAGAGGGGAAAAAAAAAATATTAAATCTCCTGAAAGTAGCCCTTTAATTGTTGTTAGAACTAGGAGTATAGCAATTACTGAATAAAGGGCAGTACAATGTATTGGTATATAGAGAATTATTTCAGGAGAAATGTAAAAAGGGACTAAATTATGTAGTGGTAAAACAACCTTTAAATAGATTGATACTATGAGATGAAATAAATCTGAGAGTAGGATTTGCCTTATAGCATAAAGTTTGAGCAATTAATATCACTAAAGAAATATTATTTGAGGTAGTTGATACTAGCTAGTGGAAGATGGTACAAGGAATTGCACAGTAGTGTAGTAGGAACATACACTAGTTTGTTATTTGTAGTTTGGGAGCATAGGGAAAATTAGGTAAGATTATAAAAGAAAGATTGAAAGATTGGATATCAGATTGGAGGGAAAGAGTATGGAGGAGGTGAATGTATTCAGATATTTGGGAGTGGACGTGTCAGCGGATGGGTCTATGAAAGATGAGGTGAATCATAGAATTGATGAGGGGAAAAGGGTGAGCGGTGCACTTAGGAATCTGTGGAGACAAAGAACTTTGTCCTTGGAGGCAAAGAGGGGAATGTATGAGAGTATAGTTTTACCAACGCTCTTATATGGGTGTGAAGCATGGGTGATGAATGTTGCAGCGAGGAGAAGGCTGGAGGCAGTGGAGATGTCATGTCTGAGAGCAATGTGTGGTGTGAATATAATGCAGAGAATTCGTAGTTTGGAAGTTAGGAGGAGGTGCGGGATTACCAAAACTGTTGTCCAGAGGGCTGAGGAAGGGTTGTTGAGGTGGTTCGGACATGTAGAGAGAATGGAGCGAAACAGAATGACTTCAAGAGTGTATCAGTCTGTAGTGGAAGGAAGGCGGGGTAGGGGTCGGCCTAGGAAAGGTTGGAGGGACGGGGTAAAGGTGGTTTTATGTGCGAGGGGCTTGGACTTCCAGCAGGCATGCTTGGGCGTGTTTGATAGGAGTGAATGGAGACAAATAGTTTTAATACTTGACGTGCTGTTGGAGTGTGAGCAAAGTAACATTTATGAAGGGGTTCAGGGAAACCGGCAGGTTGGACTTGAGTCCTGGAGATGGGAAGTATAGTGCCTGCACTCTGAAGGAGGGGTGTTAATGTTGCAGTTTAAAAACTGTAGTGTAAAGCACCCTTCTGGCAAGACAGTGATGGAGTGAATGATGGTGAAAGTTTTTCTTTTTTGGGCCACCCTGCCTTGGTGGGAATTGGCTAGTGTGATAATAAAAAAAAAATATTATAAAAGAATTATAACAGTGCTTAAGTAGGAATAAATGGTAATACAGATATTATTAAAGAATAAGTATCTTACTAACAAGTAATAAATTGTGAAAGGGAAATCTGGGAAGATAACACAAATTGGGTCACACAAAGAACTGTGTGGGACACGTGGGATAATGAGGTAGTAAATACTATCTAGGAGGTGATAGTAGAGGGATTAGTTCAATAATGGCATGATAACATACACTAACGTAGTACAATGATTTGGTCACTAATATCAGTCAGACTCTGTAATGTTTGCATCATGAAGGAAGTTTGCTAGTTCATTTTCATTTGCAATACACATTGCCTACATTTGTTTTTCTTACTAGAATTTGTCCATAACGTACAAAGCACTGGTGAATTTTATCATTATTCTCACGTTTTAGTTTTCTCACTCTATACAGGAGGTTCTGTCATTTTCTTGTGAGACACTCATTTATGCATATATCTTTTTTTGCTTTAATAGATGAACTTATTAGGTCTTTTTTTCTGTCTTGTGTGTGAAATCTGAGCATAACACTTTTTCTCCCTCGGTTCCCTAGTAACCGTGATTCTTTTATTTCCGACACTGGCACATTAACCTGTAGGTGGTCGCGTATGATCTGGAGAGCTGTAGCTTTGCAGTTGGTATGGTTTAGTTCACTTGGAAAGAGTGGACTGTTAATCACTACTGCATCAGCTAGCTTATCTTGCTCTGCCTTATCATCTTGGTAGGCAAAATAATTGGTCAGTTGGGTATCAATGTTTATTTTCCAGTCCTTGACAGCATCTTTAATCTTCGTGTTTAGGGAAGCTATTTGATCTGTGTGACTGGCTATGACTGATTGGAGGGTCTTGCCAAAATCAGTCGTGCCAGTTGATGTTAGCTGTTGTTCAAGGCTGTAGATCTTATTCTCAAGGTGAAGTAACTAAGATTCATGGTTTGTTATTGTTGCGCGGAGAGACATATTTTCAGCACGAAGATTCAAGTTATCCGCTGTTAGGGTGGTGATTGGTGATGTACAGTGGACCCTCGACCAATGATGGCATCGTCTAACGTTAAATCAGACTAGTGATACATTTTAACGCAAAAATTTTGCCTCGACTAGCGCTAAAAAACTCGACCAACACCATTCCTTCCGTCTGAGACGCGTCCACTTGTGGCCAGTGTTTACAAGCCAGCCAGCCACCGCGGTCCCATCCAAACATACAATTGGAACATTTCATATTATCACAGCGTTTTTAGTGGTTGCACCTGCAAAATAAGTCACCATGGGCCCCAAGAAAGCTTCTAGTGCCAACCTACAGCAAAAAGGGTGAGAATTACTATGGATATGAAGAAAGAGATCATTGCTAAGTATGAAAGTGGAGTTTATGTCTCCGAGCTGGCCAGGTTGAACACAAAACCCCAATCAACCATCGCTACTATTGTGGCCAGGAAAACGGCAATCAAGGAAGCTGTTCTTGCCAAAGGTGCAACTATGTTTTCGAAACTGAGATCGCAAAATGATAGAAGATGTTGAGAGACTGTTATTGGTGTGGATAAACGAGAAAGAGATAGCAGGAGATAGCATCTCTCAAGCGATCATATGTGAAAAGGCTAGGATGTTGCATGATGATTTAATTAGAAAAATGCCTGCAACTAGTGGCGATGTGAGTGAATTTAAGGCCAGCAGAGGTTGGTTTGAGAGATTTAAGAATCATAGTGGCATACATAGTGTGATAAGACATGGTGAGGCTGCCAGTTTGGACCAAAAAGCAGCTGAAAAATATGTGCAGGAATTCAAGGAGTACATAGACAGTGAAAAATTGAAACCTGATCAAGTGTTTAATTGTGGCACTGACAATGTTGTGAAACACTTTAGGAATGTCATAAGGGAACGGGAGGTACAGGCCTCTATGGACAGATATGTTGTGTGACAGAGGTCCAGTGACTCTCAAGCTGGTCCTAGTGGCATTAAAAGAAGGGAAGTAACCCCAGAAAAGGACTTGACACCTCAATTCCTAATGGAAGGGGATTCCCCTTCTAAACACTAACACCATCCACAGTCTCCCCTCCTCCCATCCCATCAATCATCACCAGATCTTCAATGAAGATAAGTGTCATGTAATTGTACATGTCTTCTTCAGTTTGTGTGTATTAAAATTAATATTTCATGTGGTAATTTTTTTTTTCAATACTTTTGGGTGTCTTGCACGGATTAATTTGATTTCCATTATTTCTTATGGGGAAAATTAACTCGACTAACTATAATTTCGATTAACGATGAGCTCTCAGGAACGGATTAATATCGTTGGTCGAGGGTCCACTGTAATTCTTTAGAGTGTCAGGATCATTAGTCATACCTGGGAGCATATCAGATGGATTAAATCCTATGAAGGCAGTAGAGGTAGAGAGGGAGTCAGTTACGGCTGGTGTTGTTGTAGTCGAGTCGCCTTGGTTGGTGGGTGAGGGGGAGTCGGCCATGTTTGTTGTTGGTGATGCGTCTCTGGGTCTCATGTGGTAAAAAAAAAAAAAAAAAAATTTCATACTTTGGGGTGTCAGAAACGGATTAATTTGATTTCCATTATTTCTTAAGGGGAAAATTAATTCGGCTAACGATAATTTTGGCTTACGATGAGCTCTCAGTAACAGATTAATATCATAAGGCGGGGGTCCACTGTACTCAATAATTCTAGCGGCTTCAAATCAAGCAGGAAAAAGCTGGTAGGACCACATGTGAGAGAATGGTTATGTGTGGTCAGTGTGCACCATATAAAAAAAATTCTGCAGCACTCAGTGCATAATGAGAAAAAAAACTCCGACTGTTTTTTTTTTGCATTAAAAAGCCGACTTTGAGGTGTATTTTCATATAGTATTCATCATTGTATTCTTGTTTTCATGGTTGCACATAATAAAATGGAAAACATATTGCAGAAATAGAGATGATTTTGATTAGTTTCACGATGAAAACAACCTTGAAATTGAGCTCAAAGTATCAGAAATGTTCGATTTTTACCAATGTTCAAGAGTAAGCAAACCACATCACACGCCCAATACACATCAACTGGGGAGTCTAATATTCTTTCACTAGTGCACTGATATTATTTATACCATTTTTACAATAATGCAGTAGTCTGCATAACAGTAAATCTTTTATTTTTTGTATCAATAAAAAATCAAAATAGAAAGCAATAGTAACTTCCTTTCCTTCCTCTCATGGTCCCATCCCTGTTTAGCTCGTCCGTATATACTGGCTCATTCACTCTTTTGTGGTAGTGTGACTTTGTAAATTGTCCAAGTCTCTCTCTCTCTCTCTCTCTGCTATGTGCAGATTATTTGTGTATTATTATGTCATCTCTGTATATAAAATAGAAGCTGACAATCTGTGCTGAACAAAAAAGCATTTCTATTAATGCACTGAAAAAACATAATATAAAAAAAAAATCCAAGAATCAGTACTGTACCTATGGTCAGGAGAAAGCCCCATGCCTATGATATGTCCATTCAGATCAATTAAGTGGTCAATAGGATCAAACCTCTCAGCAACAGAGTCATAGTCCAGCCTGAAATACAAGTTCTTATTGCAATTATCATTCAACAAGCTCTTATAAAATTTCAAAAGGTGGTACATACAAAACTCACATGAATAACAACATCAAAGTATAAAATAGCACATTATAGTGACATGTACCTACGAGTCATTTACTAAAGAACACTTGGTAACATGTTAGACTAACACCTAATATTCATTTAATACACTGCAAGAAATAAAGCATGTGCAGCTGTCCCTATGAATTTGCTGGGGTTACATTCCTAAAGGTCCCGCTAGATTATAAACTGTAAATGATAATGATAATGAAAATCTTAATTTCTATAAAGTTACATAATATAATTAATATGGGAATAGTTCATGTTTTTTTCTTTTTGTATACTTTCTATAAGTCCCAGGTTATGCAGAGCATTACGGGCAATCTTAACTACAGACATTTATGATACTAAGTTGGCTTACTGGAATGCTTAAGTTTACAATCTCTGATAGTAACTCTTAACAATTTGGATTATTTCTGTAAAACAATTTATGTTTGTAATAGTTATGGCTTGTAGACATAAACTGGTAACAGTAATAACAACAATATGAATCCTGATATGAACAAGATAAATATGAAAGATGGTGATAAACTGAGTTTTAACATAATTAGTCTATACAGAATTTATGATAGGAGGAGGTGCTTTTTATTTAAATTTTCAAGTAGGATGTGGATTGGGAACATTTTGCATTTACTGGAAGGGAATTCCAAATTTTAAGGCCCTTTATTTGCATGGAATTCTTTGACAGGTTGAGTCAAACATGTGATGTGTCAAAAGGCAAAGCTTGAGTCTCAGTAAAACTGCTGATAAAATCTCACCCACTTTATTCAACAGCTCTCCTTTTGCGCTCCTTCACCACTCTTTTACCTCCATCTTTTACTCTCCATGTACTCCAGCCTTCATGTATCACTTCTATATTGTAAAAACTTCTCCCTTACCTTACTCATCATCCCACTAAAGGGATTTACAGTTATACCTGGCTTCATTAACCCAAATCCTGTTTTGACTTTAAAAGCAATGACACCATCAACTACCATGTAACATACAAATATAAAAATATTTTTGTGTGGACCAGGTGTTTACAGTGAAACATATAAGTGAACAGTATTTAGATAAGACTAAAGAGGTCTTTGTGGCATTTATGGATTTGGAAAAGGCGTATGACAGGGTGGATAGGGGTGCAATGTGGCAGATGTTGCAAGTGTATGGTGTAGGAGGTAGGTTACTGAAAGCAGTGAAGAGTTTTTACAAGGATAGTGAGGCTCAAGTTAGAGTATGTAGGAAAGAGGGAAATTATTTCCAAGTAAAAGTAGGCCATAGACAAGGATGTGTGATGTCACCGTGGTTGTTTAATATATTTATAGATGGGGTTATAAGAGAAGTAAATGCGAGGGTCTTGGCAAGAGGCTTGGAGTTAAAAGATAAAGAATCACACATAAAGTGGGAGTTGTCACAGTTGCTCTTTGCTGATGACACTGTGCTCTTGGGAGATTCTGAAGAGAAGTTGCAGAGATTGGTGGATGAATTTGGTAGGGTGTGCAAAAGAAGAAAATTGAAAGTGAATACAGGAAAGAGTAAGGTTATGAGGATAACAAAAAGATTAGGTGATGAAAGATTGGATATCAGATTGGAGGGAGAGAGTATGGAGGAGGTGAATGTATTCAGATATTTGGGAGTGGACATGTCAGCGGATGGGTCTATGAAAGATGAGGTGAATCATAGAATTGATGAGGGGAAAAGGGTGAGTGGTGCACTTAGGAGTCTGTGGAGACAAAGAACTTTGTCCTTGGAGGCAAAGAGGGGAATGTATGAGAGTATAGTTTTACCAATGCTCTTATATGGGTGTGAAGCATGGGTGATGAATGTTGCAGTGAGGAGAAGGCTGGAGGCAGTGGAGATGTCATGTCTGAGGGCAATGTGTGGTGTGAATATAATGCAGAGAATTCGTAGTTTGGAAGATAGGAGGAGGTGCGGGATTACCAAAACTGTTGTCCAGAGGGCTGAGGAAGGGTTGTTGAGGTGGTTCGGACATGTGGAGAGAATGGAGCGAAACAGAATAACTTCAAGAGTGTATAAGTCTGTAGTGGAAGGAAGGCGGGGTAGGGGTCGGCCTAGGAAAGGTTGGAGGGAGGGGGTAAAGGAGGTTTTGTGTGCGAGGGGCTTGGACTTCCAGCAGGCATGCGTGAGCGTGTTTGATAGGAGTGAATGGAGACAAATGGTTTTTAATACTTGACGTGCTGTTGGAGTGTGAGCAAAGTAACATTTATGAAGGAGTTCAGGGAAACCGGCAGGCCGGACTTGAGTCCTGGAGATGGGAAGTACAGTGCCTGCACTCTGAAGGAGGGGTGTTAATGTTGCAGTTTAAAAACTGTAGTGTAAAGCACCCTTCTGGCAAGACAGTGATGGAGTGAATGATGGTGAAAGCTTTTCTTTTTCGGGCCACCCTGCCTTGGTGGGAATCGGCCAGTGTGATAAAAAAAAAATATATATATATAAAAACCACTTTCTAGTGTGAAGTAATATTCCACGTGATTCCTGAAGCAAACTGTACTTACCAGTTCGGCTCTTGGAAAAGACCAAGATTTCGCATCTCCCTCTCTTGTTTTCTCTGTTGAATCCTCTCTCGTAAACATGGTCCAACCTCTAGTACAGTGGGTATTGAAAACTTCTTTATTCTCTTAAAACCTGAAGAAAATATTTTTACTGTAGCTTCAAAAATCCCATGCTGTGATTCAATAAAATATACATCACCCAATAAATACTGAGAAACTGAAGATACCAAAGTGATGAATCAATATTTCCAGGACAATCTTACAACTTAGTCATGGCAAGATACATTAACTGGCAGAATATTTTCATTTGAAGTGTGTGTAAAAATGTCACTGATTTACCAAACAGCTACAAATCCACTCAAAATTAGAAATTACACTCTGAAGGAGGTGTGAGGGATGATGTAGCTTGGAGGATCATTCAATCTGTTATATTTGCACACTTGTCATGATAGCTATTGGGGGGGTCACCTTACCTTGATGGGAGATAGCCAATATGTTTAACCCTTAAACCGTCCAAACGTAGATCTACGTTTTTTCAACATTTGAAAGTATGTAAAAAAAAGTAGATCTTTTTTTTTTTTGCATTTGTAAACGTGTAAAAAACTTTGATCTACATTTTTTTTTTTGGTTATACAGTGGTCCCTCAATAATCATCCGGCCTGAAAGTCATCCATTTCGGAAAGAATCCCGTTATTTCGTCTAAACATTGGCTTGCAAATGGTCCGTTAACTCACTAATCGTCCTTTGTCCGGGACACATACTCACGCTCTGAGCTGCCTGGGCCTGCCTTCCCAGCCAGTGTGCCATTGTTTACCAGTGAGCGATGGTCCTCTCACTTGCTCCTACGAAATATTTCATAATGTTCCATAGATTTTAGTGCTTACAAGTGCTAAATAAGCTACTATGGCTCCAAAGAAAGCTTCTAGTGCCAGCCCTTTGGTAAAGAATGTGAGAAACACATATAATTTATGAAAAAGTTTGTAGAAAAATACAAAGGTGGTGGTGGTAGAGTGGAAGCAGTTGTGATAGTGGTAGTGATGGTGGTAGAGGGTAGTAGTGATGTGGTGGTAACAGTTGTAATAGTGGTAGAAGGTGGTAGTGATGGTGGTAGAGGGTTCCTTCTTTAGTGATTCAGCGATTCTACCAACTCCTCCAATGTTGTTGGAGTTATATAGGGCTAAAAAAACCACCACCGCCTCAGCTGCTGCTTCACCACCATTATGGATGGCTTACTCTCAGTGGCCCTTATATACCCAACAACAACACAACACAACACCTCTCGTGACATACGTGATGACTTATTTTATTCATTCTAGAGTATATTCCATGTTTCTATATTATTAATATTGTTTATTATGTCATATTAGTGCTTGCAAGTGCTAAATAGATAAATAAGCTGTAGAGTTGATATTAGTGTCATATTCTCCAACAATAAACTTGCCATCCCTCCCTCACAAACAAGTCTCCAATAAGAACATAAGAAAGGAGGAACACTGCAGTAGGCCTGCTGGCCCATACTAGGACAGTTCTTCACAAATCCAACCCACTAACAGAACACATACTACCCAAGCAATAAGCTCAGGTGCAAGTCCGACTCAAATCCAACCCCTCTCACTCATGTATTTATCCAACCCAAATTTGAAACTACCCAATGTTTTAGCTTTCACACTACTAGGCAGACCGTTCCACTCATCAACCACTCCTATTACCAATGTTCATTTATACATTTTATTAGTGCTTTACATTTATTTGATATTCTTTTCTGCATGTAAATCTATATTTATGCTAGGGAAGTGACCCCTGAAGTGACCTAGAGTCCTTATGGAGGGGGATTCCCCTTCCAAACAATAACCTCTCTTCCCTCTCTCCTCCTCCCTGTCTTCAATTCATCAACAACAACCTTCAATAAAGGTAACTGTCATGTTGAATGTTCATTCTTTTGTGCATGTAAATCTATCTTTTAGGTAAAAAAAAAAATTGCTGGTGATACTTCTGGGTGTCTGGAATGAATTATTTGGATTTACATTATTTCTTATGGGGAAAATTGATTCGAAAATCGTCTATTTCGATAATAGTCCCACTTCCAGGAACGGATTAAGGATGATAATTGAGGGACCACTGTATTTGAAAATATGTAAAAAAAAAAACGTAGATCTACTTTTGGAGCACTACGCATGTGAGCGTAGATCTGTTTGGACAGTTTAAGGGTTAACAATAAAGAAATAAATAAAAAAAAAAAAAAATTCCCACATCACCTATTTTCCACCAAGGTCACCAAAAGACATTCATTATAAATACAGGGGTCCCTTGAATTACAATACAGATCCACCATCACAAATGCAGAAATCAGTTATTCGGTTCCATCAGTTATTCGGCACTAATTTCGGCTAGCATAATTTCAAATTTCCAGGGTCGCCACACCAACCTGCTGGCACTGTTTGGTGGCGCTACTTGCTGCATAAGTCATTCTAATTTCTTTTTCCCCATTTATTGTTATAACCTGCTTACTTTTAGCCCTAGCCATGGTTCCAATGAATAAAAGAAATGCTTTTTGTTGTGTAAAGCACCTACACAGTACATTGTCCATTAAAGATAAGGTGGCTTTGAAGCCACTATCAGTTGCCATGAGCTCAGTCTCGTGATGCAGGAGAATATGCTTTATTATTACGCTAATATCAACACTACAGCTTATTGCTTATCACAATTGATCTAATATGACATAAGAAACAATATAAATAACATAAACCATGTTAAATACTCCAGAATTAATAATATTTGGCATAATACCAAGCAGTTCGACGGAGGTATGAAGAGGATACGAGATGCAAGTACCATTCTCCTATCCCTGTCTTGGGGCTTATATTAGAGAAAACGGAGTGTAGCACAGGGCTAACTGTGATATACACTCGTACTGCACAATAAACCTGAAACAAAAAAGCTATTTTCTCTATATAGATTACCACACATAGCAGCATATGTACAGAGAACGTAGGATAACCAAAAAAAGTCAAACAACATGGCTTATTTTTAGTACAGGTCCTCCATCACAAATCCGGCATCATTGGGACCTGTAGTGTGCCGGATTACTGAGTTTGCCGGATTACAGAGTGGTTAGGTTAGAATACACTTAATAAAATTGACCAACCTGACTTACACAGTTCATTGAACATCGGCAAAAATCGAACATTTCCACTACTTTGAGCTCAATTTCAAGGTACTTTTCATCATGAAAGCAATCAAAATTATGTCTATTTCTGTAATATATCTTCCATTTTATCAAATGAGTCCAAAAAAATGAGAATACAACAATAAAAACCATACGAAAATATACTGCAAAGATGCAGCTAATGGCTGAGAAGTTAACTCCCTTATTTATCATCCGTCTTTTTTATTTTTGTTGTAAGTTAAGAAGCATCTTTCTATCATACATTGCCCAAGTTTCAACGAGATAGCTCAACAAACAACCGAGAAAATAAATATTTACCAAAAATCATATATGGCAAGCCCAAGCCAGGTACTGGAAATAAGTCACTTTGTCTGACTTTTCTGGGTTATCCCAGGTTCTCTATACATACAGTGCTATGTATGATAATCTATGTAACTGTATTTGTGTATACCTGAATAAACTTATTTACTTCTAGTCTGTCAACTGAGTACAAGAAACTGCCCATTCACTTATTTCAACTACCCAATAAAGTGGTCAGAAATTGGCAATTTGGCTGATTTCACACAAATTTCAACAGATACCAATTTCAAAATAGGGTCCAGAATAAACAATGCAGACATTCCTGGCACTAAAATAACATTTTCTCTGTTCATTAGTCATGGCTACTGGCCCCTCTTATATTACTCTTGCTTTTCATTTGGAATTTTTAATCACAAAAAAATAGAAGATTTACTGTTATGCAGACTACTGCATTATTGTAATAATTGTATAGATAATGTCAAGCCATTTTTGACTCCGTACTGGAATTTAGACTGGCAGGCGGACAGGACATTTGTTTACTCTTGAGCTTCGCTAAAGAATAGAATATTTTCGCTACTGTGAGCACAATTTCAAGGTACTTTTCGTCATGAAAGTAATCAAAATCAAATCTATTTCTGTAATATATCTTTCATTCTATCAAATGAGACCGAAAAAATGAGAATATAATCATAAAAAAACATACAAAAATATACCACTAAGCGGCCGCTAATTACTGAGAAGTGAACTCCGCTATTTATGGTCTGATTTCTTTCATTTTTGATGTACGTGAAGAAGTATCTTTCCATCATATATTGCCCAAGTTTGAATAAGATAACCCAACAAACAACTGAGAAAATAATATAATAATAATAATAATAATAATAGTAATAATAATAATAATAATAATAATAATAATAATAATATCTTTATTTACTACACATACATGTACAAGGTATAAAGGCCTAGCTGACATCAGTGACATACTACTGTATAGAAAGCTGCTTGTATGCAGAGTATTTCAAGAAAATTAGGTCAGTGTCCCAGGATAACACCCACACTAGTCGGCTAACACCCAGGTACCCATTTACTGATGGGTAAACATAGACAACAGGTGTAAAGAAACAAGTCTAATGTTTCTACCCTGGCTGGTAATTGAATAGTGTATTTACCAAAAATCATATATGGCTAACCCATGCCAGGTACTAAAAATAAGCCACATTGGCTTTTTTTGGGTTATCCTAGGTTCTCTACACATATGCTGCTATGTGTGATAATCTATATAGAGAAAATAACTTTTTTGTTTCAGGTTTATGGTGCAGCACGAGTGTATATCACAGTTAGCCCTGTGTTATACTCCGTTTTCTCTAATATAAGCCCAAAGACAGGGATTGGAGAATGGTATTTGTATACCATATCCTCTTCATACCTCCATCGAACTGCTCAGTGTTATGCCAAATATTATTCATTGTGGAGAATTTAACATGTTTTATGTTATTTATATTGTTTCTTATGTCATATTAGATCAATTGTGATAGGCAAATAAGCTGTAGTGTTGATATTAGCGTAATAATAAAGCATATTCTCCTGCTTCATGAGACTGAGCTCATGGCAACCGACAGTGGCTTCAAAGCCACCTTATCTTTAATGGATAATGTACTGTGTAGGTG